ATATATATGTGTGTGTGTGTGTGTGTGTGTGTGTGTGTGTGTGTGTGTGTGTGTGTGTGTGTGTATATATATATATGTGTGTGTGTGTGTGTGTGTGTGTGTGTACGTATATACATATACATACACACACACACAAAACACACAGGAAGTCCTTAAATACAAAAATAACCCACTGTGAGCCAGAGGCTTTGTTAAACTGGCCCACCATGACAGTCCATTAAAGTAACTAGAACTAAAGGAATTTGGGCACCTCAGAAAATCAAAAAACTATTGATCTGGAGTGATATTAGATATTATTCACATAAAGGCTTGAATGAACCTAAGAACACAGAGATAATAGAGTTTTACTTTGGGGATAGCAGCGATGCTGTAGGCTTTTCTGGCCCCAGGTTTAAATATAGAATCCCGCACAGGGAGTCATACATTAACAGACTGGATCACCAGAAATTATTAATGTTTCCTTTAAATTTTTAACTAGTGCACATCACTGGAAGACAGACCATGGATCTCCTGCCCATTCAGCCAGTGACTAGGACAAAAATGTTTTTGAAAGATCTGAGGGGTTTCACTGACATTAAATCTATCTCTGAGATTTTAACTTAAATAGCAGTTATGTTATTATTATTATTAACATTACTGGTGTGTACTAAAACCTTCATGCAACAGAATTTAAGTACAAACCCCACCACAGGAAAATGTGTAGAATTCAAATACTGCAAACAAAAGTACTACTGTATGATCAAATCATGGTTATTTATCTGTAGTGTGCATTACTAAATGAACAATGTAAGCTGACCAAAACTTTTATTCCTAACCACTTGTGTCTTTTCTCGTCATATGTGAACATAAAAACAAGCTTCAAACAGGATTTGAAAATGATTACTTGAATTTGTTCATTTGTATGGGAACACATACCATCCATGTATATAATACTACCAAAATATAAATACAATACAAAATACAAAGTAAGAGAACGAGAGAAACTCAAAGAAAATCACATCTATGTAGTTGGGAGTCTGCCCATGGGCCACAAGTAACACTGCTGGGTTGACAGACTGCAAATGTGTTAAGCCAACTGGCTTCTTTGGTCATAGATGATAAATTATCTCAGTGTATACAGTTTAATCCAGTGAATTCAGAAAGGAAGTCTGAGAGTATGGGATTATTTATGAAATGAGTGTTTTAGCTGTGGGTACTGTATATTATTGCAGTGATGGATTAGGCCTGAAATAAACTCAGGAGAAGGGATGTTGGTGACTTCTTGGTCGCAGCAAGAGTTAGATTAATGAAACAAGCTGACATGGCAAATGTATGTGTTGTTTATTCACATCTCCAGCACATACAAAGTGATATAAGCATTCATTTGGAGTTGTTTTTTCTTTTGCCAGTTGATGAATATATTTCCAGTCCTTTAACTCTGTTGTTGACTCCACCAGCTCTTTAGCTGCTAAATGCTCCACTATGATCACCAGCCACTTACTGCGTCTGTCTGCTGTTTGATATTAGGCAGGTAGTGTACACTGGGTCTTTAGAGCTAGTCACTGAAGATAATGCTGAACAGAGCAACGAGCCTCCATCAGGACAGTGATGCTGAGGTCCAGAAAACCCAAACCACTGCAGAGTCATGTGATAATTCTCTGTTCAGCACTATGAGCAACACCCTTCATGTCCACACAGGCCTTACAGTTCAATAAAACTGGAGGTCAATGCATATGATGTCTGTCATATAATGCAAACTAGAACTTAAACCTGAAATATCTGTAATTATTTTCCACTGTGGTATTGCTGCTTTTATGCAAGTAGATAATCTGAATATTTCTTCTACCACTGCTGTTTCCATCAGGACTTTCAAAGTCTTCCATCTGGCAGGGACCTGATAAACCAACAGACCTTGAGTCATAGTGAGCATTGATTCACAGCACCATATTTGACAGCTGTTGGTGAACACAACTAATGTGGTTAATTTGAAGCTTACTGCAGGCACAGAAGGGAATAGATCAAACCTTCGGACAGCAGGCTGCATTTTGTAATTTATGTCAAGCATAATAATCACACACACCATCAGTAGTGCCAGTAGATATTTATAATTAGTCTATATCTCCACAGGCGTATCTCAGTGTCGTAGATCGTTACCCCTCTACCACAGTAATTTTATTTAAGATTAAACTTATTTTACAATCCTGACAGCAGCCACTGAAGCAGCAGAGACAAGTAAGTTTGGCCAATTCAAAGAGAGTCAGAAGTGGTAACAGAGAACCAGAGATGCAACCGATGATTATTTTCACTATTGATGTAAATGTCAGCAAGAATGCATAAGAATTACATAATACAAAGAACAATGAGTAAATCCTCACATTTAAGAAGCCACAACTTTGGCATTTCTGATAAAACAGCTTTAATGATTAACCAATTATCTATACTTGTTGAATCATTTTCTGTTGAACTACTGATTCACTGACCAAGTTGTTTTAGTTCTATCTTGTGTTCTTAAACAGGGAATGAAATGTCAGACTGTGTATGTAGAAAATGTTCAAACCAAACCAACAATGTGCACATTTAAAGGTCAGCCTCAAAAATTGACTTTTTATTTTTATTTATTTTTTTTTTACATATATATAATTTGAGATGTCCAATAAATAAGATTCACCAGCTGCCACACTAAGTAGCTGAACATTTGGGCAGAATGGACAGATGCAGTCACAGCCTGGTGGTCGGGTCTGACTGACAGCTCCACCACAACTGACAAAAGCCTTCTGCCTCTGGAGGCCTCTGAGCCCTTTAGCATGCGCTGTCAGGCAGTGAGGACGCCTGCCCCTGTCTCTCTCGGCTGGGTAGCTGCTTGATGGGACTCTGCTGCTTCAGAGGCAACCTGCCTCACTTTGCTCACATCCTCTTGGTGACTAAAGCCACTATCACACTTGGTTTCATCTTTCTGATGACCCTCCGTCTCTAAATAAATATACTGCTGCTCTTCCTATAAAGGACTGAACTGAATCTGCTCAAATCTAAAAGCTTGAGGTTCATTAAAAACGCAGGTGCTGGTAGTAAGCCTGGAAACCGTGCACTTCATAATTCTCATCAGGACAGATGTCTCCTGCAGGCTCATATTCACGCCGTCTTTCACTCTCGTGGGGCACATCCTGTCTCCCCTCTGAGCAGCAGCATAAACAGTCAAACTGAGCTAGTGCGTGCAGCATTTTAATTAATCCTCAAAGGTCTCAGGAGTTGAGCTAGAAAAAGACTACAAAATTATTTACAGCCCTACCTGTCACTGAGCACGGGAGGAAAAGAGCAGCATAAGGCCAAGGGAGGGGGGCAGCATGCAAACGCGCACATTTAGAACATACATACATTTGGGAGGGACCGAGCCTTGGTGTTGATCTGTGGCTACAACGAGAGGTTACGGCATCCATTTCATAACAAAATCAAGAATCCACTACTTGAAAAAATGATGAAGGTCAACATGAGAAGGGAACAAAGAAACTGGCTTAGTGAACACAGGGTTAAGTGGTGGAATCACTGACTTTGTTTTACATGCAAATAAAACTATCTGATTTTCATATGCCTCCCTGGCTGCTGCTGTTATCATTTGGTGAACAGGCGACTACAACACAGTGGTGCAGAGACTGACATTAAGCAGCATATGGGGACATTATTAAATAAGCAGATGTTATCTGTCCAGCATCTGACTGCCTAGCACATTTCCTTCCCCACTTATAACGAGAGGATATGGATGAAAAGGTGAGGGGATCTCTCTCTGAGCCTTCAGGCCTCATCACTGCGAAGCCACTTTAGACGGCCATTTGTTGAGAAAGCCAGGCTCCCTCACAGTTTTCAGAATGACGGCTCTTAGTGCTGACTTTGACAGTTGTTACACTTCAAAACCACAATTTATCCAGCTGCATGCTGGTTGGGAATTACAGCAAAGGCCATGGAGGAGATGCCCACATCCACTCCAGGTAATGGCACTTTGGAGGCTGCTACTCTCTGAAATGAGGTGAGAAACAATCGCATCATATTTACTATCCATGTATTATAGGCCCTATTTATAAAGATATTAATCTCACTATGGTCATAACATATAGCATAACACTGAACTGAAATACAGTGGGGCTTTCATTATGGGCCAGTCTACAGAAAACTGTGTATGTGGTGTTAAATTAAGAGGCATCACTCTACTATCAGCTAACCATCCAGCAAAAACTCTACACCTCTAACAAGAATCACCACCTTTATGACTCTAATGAGGATTAGGGCAAGCATCCATTATAAGAACAGTATTTTCCCTGTCGGTGAGTCCACAGCCAGATTTCCTCAAATATAACCTCTAGAGTCCCTGCGTCCTCATATGAGGACCGCACAGCTTGGGTTTCCAAAGCTCAGGACTCTAGAGGATAAGCATGCCCCAAAGCAATTTCTGACAATAAGGTGCTTGAAGAAACATCTAGGCATCATGGAGATTCAACAGCTTACTGACACAAAAGACACGAGTCCTTAGAGTCAGCAATATTTGGCTCTGTATTCTTTCATGACTGATGAATGTTGGAACATACAAGGATATATCACTGCAGTGCTAACACAGACAAAAACTTGTATGAATACTGAAGAATAGAGACTTGTCTTCCTTGTGTGTGTGTGTGTGTGTGTGTGTGTGTGTGTGTGTGTGTGTGTGTTTATTCATAGATAACTGGACAAGACAGTCAGGTTAGATGTAATCAGTGAGAAAACAGGAGTGACAATAAATCACAAAAGATGGCAATCTTTACAGATATGATGTGAAGGCAGGGCAAGACCAACATATACTTGGGTCAATGAGAATGAGGCTGTAGGTCACCAGTTTTATCAACTCTGCTGGCCTGATAGCGGGCCTGTTGGCCAAGTTTATACCTGACAAATGCTGTTTTCAACTCAGTGATGTTTTTAAATGAAAGCAACAGCTCCCCAGATTACAGCATAGCTGGATAAGGTTCAGGTTTTGGTCAAAAAGAGACATTAGTGACGGCCATGAAGGCTGTGAAGTTTCAAAAGGCTCACCTGTCCTATTGTATACATTATTTACATCACTCGTGACCATCAGTCCATCAACCCAATACACTGCATTGCTGACGTACCATACTAGTTGGCACGAACAGTGATTCTATAGATACTGTGTTCTTTGTGCAATGAAGAAGAGTATTTTTCACATATTTCAATGGCTCAACAAATACAAGTGAAACATTTCTGCCTCATCAAGGAACCATTAAATACAAATAACAGCTCTCTTAGCAAACTGCTTCCAGTTTAAATTGTAGAGCAATGTGAAACTGTGGAAGTCTTAAGTCTGAAACCGCAAAGACTAGTCAAGTGACTAGTCGAGAGAAAATTAATTGGAAGATACTTTGATAGTTAATTGATCGGCAGTTTAAAGCTTCTGAATTAAAGATTCTGCTACTTGTCCTCTTTGATATTCAGTCACAAATGAAGTTGCGTTTCTTGCTTGAATTTTAGCAAAACAACAGTTACCTCAAGTTTTCTTCACCATCACTGGTCTCATTTCCTGAAGGTATTTCAGTGTTTCTTTGGTTAATCTGCTTATGGTTTTTCACAGACTCATAATGCCGTACACTCCCTCAATAACAAGCCCCAGTGAGCCATAAGACACACACACATACACACTCTACACTATATGAAAAGCAGGGTGAAACAGCTTTGTGAGATTTATTTTTAATTCCATTTTTATTACTATATAAGTAGATACTTCTTGCTTACAAAGCATTAATACTGCAGGTTATTTAAGGCTCCTTTGCACGTCTGCAGATGCATTCAAAGGCCTCTATAAATGCTGGAGCTGCATGAGCAATATTGTGTTTTTAGGATGATGGGTGAGATTAGAAACAGTGATCGCCTGTTCAGTTCAAAGGTGTCCATCTTGGCTAGACGTTCCTCCTTTTACGCCCATAGATAAAATTACTTGTGAATTGATTTTTTTTTTTTATTATTGTGCTAACAACTGGTTTTACTTGAACCTTATTTTCCCTAAGTGGAGTTTATATCTTTGATTTATGTACAGCAGTGTATGTCACTATCAAGTGAAAGGCACCACGCAGTGTGCTCAACAGCAGCAAAACAAATCATTAGGGAAAAACATACTCACTCTTGGGGACTGCTGTAGCACCTACCTGATACGTGTTGTCAAAGCTGTCATACATGAACCGTGTGATCAAGGACGTCTTTCCAACTGCAAGAGAAGAAAAGACCAGAATTCATTAAAAGAAAAACAAGAGGCCTTGACTTCCCCTATGCAGACATTCAGTAAACCTAACAGTAGGACTGGTAGTTATGGTGTCTGCCGTGACTGGCACTGCTGCCCAGGGAGCTCATTACTGAGTGCAGAGGTAACCAGGAGGTCAGCCTGTGCCATCAGATCCAGATGTAATTTCAGTGCTGTTGCTGCTATGAGCATTATGTGTTCCCAAAACACCTACATTTCCCTTTTAATATATAAAGCTAACCACCCCTGCTAAAGGACTGTCGCTGGATTCAACAGGTTTTGTTGACATTTACAGTTGTCTGTCATCTGCACAGCACTGAAACTGGATGTGTAACACACATCTGACTTTCACAGGCACTGCAAACTAATTCCCTCACTGTTTTACTAGTGGTGATGGCTCCCCACTGGTTTTAAATGTCTTATTTAGGTGTGCATTTCTTTCCTTTTTGTTTTACACTTTCCTTTTATCTTGCAGGAAACGAGCGACATATGATATGGTCCCCCAGCTGGGACTCAAAAGTGGATGTTGTGGCTACATAGTATGTGCCTTAACCATTAGTCCACTGTGAACACACAAGTTGTGAATATTTGTTCTTATAGCAAATACTTATACTCAAAACATTCTTGTATTGTACCTTGAAGCAAAGTAATATCTTTATATTACATTATATTAAGTGATGGCGCATAGTGCAGCTCTATAGCCCCAACAACACTGATTGCCCTGATCAATACCTGGACACTCTCTATTTCATACAATGGAATATCCATCCATCCATTACCTATAGACACCTATCAACCTAAGCAGCATGTGTTTGGACTGTGGGAGCAAGCCGGAGTACCCAGAGAGAACCTACAAAGGCACGGGGAGAACATGCAAACTCCGCCTAGAAAGGACACGAACCCGGAACCATCTTGCAATGGCATATAAATAAAAAATATATTCTTGCATATGGACAAAACACTGCAATTTATTTAAGCAACATTATTAATATAAGTATGAACTTGTGGTTGAAATAACTACTGATTAGTTCCATTCCTTAATGCCTGCTTAGTAGGATCCATACAGAACAAACTTGTGTAGTCATTTAAATGCAGACTTATGCAAAGACAAACATTAAAATCTTTACAGACAAAGCAGACACAAACTGGTTCCAACAATACAGTATACCCATAAAGAAAAGACTGTGGCTTTTGGTTCCTACATTTTTGCTCAGTTGCTGTTGATCTGGCATCTCAAGTGTTAGATCACATGTATGTAAATTAATCCTCTTCTTATATCCGTTTAGCAGCAGTGTAGATGTTGGGCTGAGAGCTGGTATCTTATATTTCTCTAACTCGAGAGGAATAGATCCAAAGCGCTACAGTTACATCCATTCTGTCAGTCAACACAGGACAGACACTGGACATTGCTGACTATAACCTTTCATTTTATTGACTCCTCACTAATAGAACTAAATCTGTATACCCATAGTGAAACATGCAACGTCTTTTTGTGCAACTGTCACACGGGATTTGTTGTATTTAAATATTTGAGACATTTAAATTCATTATTCATGTTAAAGAAATGTACGGCAAATGAGCACTCAAAATTTGCAGGCGCACGCTCACTCTCTAAACATAATCTGTCTTTAAATCACAGTTCATCAAACAAGCATTCAGTTGCAACTGTTTACTGAAAGAGATTTAATCAGGCAGACTAATTACATGTGTCTGTGCCCTCACTTGGATCCATATCTGCAATGCAGGATGTGATGTGCAGCTACTGATTATGCTAATGATCTCATGCTAATGCATCATCTAGTTTACTTAGCTCATAAACTATCCTACTTTAGACAGATACCAGCTAATTTAACACATTCCACTAATGTAGTCATGATCCATTTTGAGTTAAAACTCCATAATGACTCTTTTGGTGCAGTCCAAATCCTTGCAGATGTAGGAAAAGCTGTAGTTATGCAGCATATGCAGCATTTAAACAGTAAAATAAGAGTGACATATTTCTTCAAATTACTTTTCCAAAAACTAAATAAAAGTTTAAGGACTGGATTGAAGAGTGTTTATCCACTCTAATGTAATGGACTAACATTAGAAACCTTTGCTAACCAGCTATTCACAGAGACCTAGTTGTACTTCCACGCAGTGTTGTAGTTGAGTCACTAAACCCTGTGTCCAAGTTGAGTCTCAAGTCCCCAGTTTTCAAATCCGAGTTAAGTCTGAGTCACCAAAGAATAATCCCAGTTGAGTCTGAGTTGAGTCCAAATCAAGCCCCCATTACTCAGGTCAGTCATCAAGGTCTATTCCAAACGTTCTAACAGTATATTGCATCACCACCAATGTGCTGGATACAGCACGTGGCGGGTGAACAGGTTTTAATATCGATATCCAAGGCCAAATTCTTATAGTTTAGTCCTTGTCTCCAATTTCCGAATACAGTCAATGCTCGAGTCCAAGTCAGAGTCATCAGCACTCAAATCTAAGCCAAGTCCTGAAAATATGGACTTGTGTCTGAGTCCTTGACTTGAGTACTACAACACTGCTTCCAAGGCCAAAAGTTAGCATAATATTAACTAGACTATCTATATTATTATGTGAGGTTACAAGCTACATTAGATAACCCTACTCTGGACTGACACATGCGTTGTGGTCCAACTAAATCATTTATGAGATTTTAGGAAAACATTAGCATGTTTCCTGCTCTATATTGGATACTTATCCAAGAGGACTTTGCCGAACTCATCAATTAATCATCGTCCTCAAATTCCTTTATCTTGCTGATGCGCCGTTTGAACAAACTAAAACAAAGCACAAGCCCTTGCTAACCTTTGTGTTGTTTGCCCAAAAAACGTGTTATGTACTTATGAGTATCGATTAACTGTTATGGGGATTTTTCACTACTTTCCGACACTTTAGAGAGATGAATCAATAATGAAAATCATCACTAGCTGCAACTCTACACCATGCAATACTGACAACACTATTTTCCCCTCTGAATATGTGTTAGGCACACAATGCCTTCACATCAGTGGTTATGTGAGAGCAGAACATGGAGGTCTGAGAGTCCGATCCAACATTCTCTCTGCTGACTCATCCTCCTTGACAGCTAAGCAACATGACACTACACTCCCTGTGCCATCCAGTCACTGCTGAAAGCTTCAAAACCCAGAGACAGACAGCATGTTCTTCTTTCATCCTCTAACTTCATCCTCAGTATCTGGGAGAGTGCATTGTAAACAACACAAGGGAAGTTGTTCCCCAGCAAAGGAAGGTGTATCACAGTTCACTTTAATTTTGCTTGTATGAATGGATAAAAATGGCAAAATTATGGCCAATGAATTATATATCCAGGGTGTCACAGCAAAGTACTACAGAGAAGCAAAACATGATCAGATCCAGCCCACAATAGTTTCTTAAAATTAAAAGGCTGAACCATGTGTATTATAATTTTTGTCAGTACCTTCAGATGAAACTCCAGGTTTGTTTGTGTTAATTTAATTAGTGGGGTGGAAGCAGGAAGCTTAGTTACGCTCATGGCTGAAATAATTTAGTGAATTTTCTGTTAGGCTAAAAAGAAATGATTAACAAAGCAGATTTCTGACTACATTTCAGAATTAGCTCTGCAATTCAGAGCATTTCCTGCTCATAAGCCTTTCATCCTCTTTTCCATTAACACTGAAAGCTATTTTAGAGATTATGCTGGGATTCAAATGATTAGTACAGTAGCTATAGCCAGAAATAAAAGCTATATCTGAAACAGCAAACGAGATAAGAGCAATGAGCTCTTTTCATTCAGGTCGTAACAGAGGAGTGTTTTCACAGGACAGTGGGTCGACAGAGAAAATTGCAGCTTATCAAATTTCAAAAGAAAGGACAGCATTGAACTTCAGAAAGTTCAACTATTATTTTTACTGCCTGGCTGTGAGCCAATTAACAAACCTTAAACAAAACCAATCATTTAATGAGGAACAAGTGTTAAAACAGACGAATGCCATCTTTATAATGTGACTCTCTGGAGACCAAGATATGTCTTACAATTCACAGGGAGGTTTGCTTTGAAATTACACAGCACACAAGATGGTACATACTGCACTCTCTTCATACTGAAAGTAATGATGCAGCATTTGCTGTTAGCGCCCGATTTGTGTTTGAAAAATTCTCCCACTAATTTGAAGCCATCTGTGCAAATGTCTCATTTCAGTATTCGAGATATTCAATGAAGCTTTTTTGCCTGTTTCTGGCACCAACTGATTACTGTCACACTCTAATTAAAGTGGATAAGTGTACAAGTTCCTCCGTGCAAATGGCCACCTTGCTAATTAAGGGTGATGATGATATCTCAGGCGATGAGATCTCGTCAGATTAAAACATGATTATTTCTTGTCAAGGCAAAAGCAGTCTCATGATATTATTACATAACAGAACCAAAGCAGCAGCCAGTATGACGGAGTGCTGGCTCATTGACGGCACATTCACATTCAAGTAAAAACGCAACTCCCTGCAGTGTTTTAACGGACAGGGCAGCTTTGGGTTGCAGGGGGAGTGTTGTAGGCGTCACATGGCTACGTTGTGACAAGTCGACTTGAGTGGCTTCATTCACGTTGAACATCCAATACTACCAAAAATAAGGATATGTCACACACAAGGAATTTGTTTCCGGTACAGAACCGATGGCAGCCATCTGCGGCGCCACCTCAACCGATGGCTCTAACCATCGGGGGCAACGGGGGTTCAGTGTCTTGCCCAAGGACACTTCGACATGTGGACTATCGGCACTGAGATTCAAACCTTCAACGTTCTGGTTGGGAGACGACTGCTTTGCCCACCATACCACAGTCGCCTCAAAAATGCATGGCGTTTCATTATGGTACATTAATTATGGCCCAGATTCAACAGTGAATAGCAGTGAATGCTCATGCTAACAAGGTGAAGAAAAGAGCCTTGTTCCGATGGGCGTCCACGTCTCGATCATC